TCAGTTTTTTTAATGTAATGAAGTTTTTGTTTTAGCACAAATATATATCTCTAATGTTTTCAGTTTTATCTATGGTTTTGTCAAAAATAATATATTATTTATTTAGTAAATTTATAATTTCAACATTTTGTAATTGTATACTAATTGCCTACTGTTTGCTTCCATTTATGAATTTATATATTAATGTAACTATACAATTTGTAAGTAAATGTATACTTTTATAATGTAACAACAAAGAATAAACTGAAGAATTATCATAATGAACCTACTATTCTATTTTTATTCTTATTATATTTACAAAATTTCATCTGATGTAATCTTATAAATTTGTACATAATAATTAATAATTCAGTATGCAAGTATGGTTGAAATAACAATACTTATATATTATGAAATGTTTATTTATTTTACATTAAAATATTATTGTGGTTTACCACGACCGAAACCTCCGCGGAATTCAACATCTCCAGTACCAGCACCGACATCAGCTTTTTTATCGCCAGGACCAGCTGGGCCACCAGGACCTCGTCTATATCCAGCACGGTCTTCTGTAGGTCTAGATGCTTCACTTCTTGCACCTATTGCAGGTCTTGGCCTTGTTGTTTCTGATCTAGTTTGTCTCTTCAGTGTGGAAGGTACTATTTCAGGAGGTAGATGCAAATATCCACGTAAATATTCAATGCCTTCATTTGTCAAATACCAGTAAAAATGTCTCCAGGCAAATTGTTCTTTGACAAATCCTTTAGACTTTAATGACTAGAAACAAAAATAACAATTTAACTTTAATGGTATAACAAATTAAGCGATTGATATAAAGCAGAATACACTAATAAATCGTGAATAATTATTACCTGCATAGCTTTAATGACTTGAAGATTAGGAATACATTCTAATTCTGGATGTTTTGGTGCATGATAATCTTTTTTTGCAACCATGACACCTTCCTTAAAAAGGTGTTCATAAATTGCTACACGATTCTTTTTTGGCATCAACATTCTAAAAATAATTAAAAAGAAATGATTAAAAACTAATTACTATTAACGAAGACGCAGTCGCTTTAGGTTATAAATGAAAAACAAAAGAGAAATAAAAGAATTATTGAGCATATTTTCAAAATAAAATCTATTATAATACAAGAAACTGTATACGTAGAATTACACATGAGATTAAAATTATTAAAAGAAAATAAGGTTCTTTCAATTTATCATAGATAAACAATTTTGTAGGCTATGCAAGATTTTGGGTTTTATATTTGGTTCATAACATAAATTATTCTGATATTTCCATTGTGCTGTGATATTTTTTAATTATAATGGGAAAAATGTTAACATTATAAATTAACATTATATTAGAAAGAAAAGAAAAACATTCGTATAGGTTAACTCTATAATGTCAATATTGTTCACTATGATACTAATAAAAGATTCCAATCATATAAAAATTCTTTAATTTTAGAAGGATTAAATAATTTAACAAATCTCCTACTTTTTTGTAAAATTCAAAATTAAAAGCGATTAAAGTAGATATTTTTCGTAATCTCACGTACTTGACGTTTCAGTGTGAGCCCTTTATCGGAAAGAAACGTTTCATGCGTTCGATACTTCACATGTACGAATCGATATATCGTTCGAGATCAACCGGAAATGGAGAATACACAACGAAAACATTTATAAATTTATTGTAATTCGATTTTATCTTAAAAATGTAATTCACATATGAAATTATAAACTTTTACATTGTTTTTTTTACATAATATAACTTATATTCTATGTAAAATTTAATATTCGAATTTATCTTTCTCAACGACTCCAAGAAAATAACTTTATGATAAAAAGAGATATTTAATATGAATAAATATATTTAACATATGTAATGCGAATTTTAGATAAATATTAGTAATACAACGTTGAAATAAATTTTATATTGGATGAAAATTTTGTGTAGATTGAAATTTTCAAACGAGTATCTGATCTAGTATGTTTAAAAAGAGAATCTATTAATAAAGGCGCTGTGGCGCTTATAAAATTACAAAATAAAATATTAGAAATGAGTGAAATTAAGTGTATTTTAAAACATCATAGAATTAAATTATAAAACAAATTTATAAAATCATGTACTGTGTAAATACTGCCTAGTTTAGAAATTAAGTTTTGAAGTTTCTACGTTTTTATAAAAAACACTTTATTAAACTATATTCAACAATAGCATTAATCATTATAATATTTACGTAGATTAACGTAAGCATTAAGAAAATGCGTCAGCGTTAATCACTCGAAATGTAGTTATTGAGTGGGTGTAAAACGAATACGCCTATCGTCGTAAATAATGATGGTAAAGTAAGTAGACAATACGTAAGTATTTCATATAACTAATAATTAAATAATTATTATTGATTGAAATAGTATAAAAGTTGAATAATATTACATATAAATAAACTTATTTAAGTTCAGATTATTGTATCATCTGTTAAACTATGTTAATGACAAGTAAAAAATATTTGAATCCTTGTTTGATCTATTTTGCTTGTACTTTATTATTATTTTATTTTCCAGATGGAGTAATATTTGGGAATATATTTATACGCATTTCTAAACTCAACTACATTTTGATTGTATATAATGTAAAATTTTTTATATAGATATTTTTGTAAATTTTGGATTATCATTTTACATATGTTGATTTTGTTAAAAGTTCGTTTTAAGTAACATCTGTGTATATTTATAAGGAAAGCTTCAGATAGCTGTAATTTATTATAAATTAATTATATTGCACTGTTTTATACACAATGTATCTTGATTACAAAAAAAATATAAAGTACTGATACTATATTTTATAAAAATGCATTTTTCTATACCAGATACGCAAGACTTTATTGATGCAGCTGGTAATACATACGTGGTGAGTATATTTGTTACATACAATATACATCGTTATATACTAATACATTCGCTTTATCCAAACTTGCAGGGTTACAACATTCATATAAATGGATTATTTCATTGTACTGTGAGATATAAACAACTATATAGCCTTCATGAGCAGTTAGCAAGAGATTTGGACATATCACTTCCATCATTTCCACCTAAAAAGTTCTTTCCTTTAACAACAAGTCAGCAAGAAGAACGTCGTCTTTCTTTGGAAAAATATATCCAAGCTATTGGACAAAATCCAGTTGTTAATAATTCAGGAATGTTAAATGGATTTTTATTAAATGCACAGCAAGAAACTGTTGGAGGGCCATCTAATCATGAACTTATGGATGTTTTTCTTATGAATGGTTGCAAAATAACAATAAATGTTTCTACAGGGGATCATTCTGGTAGTGTTCTGAAGGTGATTTTTGCTATAGAAGTATATATATTGAATTGTACAATGTAAATGTATAATATAATTAAAAATTAACTAATATATTTTATTTAATAGAAAGTATACAAGCATCTTAGGTTGTTTGATAAATATTATTCTTACTTTGCATTATTTATTGTTGTTCAAGATGAAGCAAATAGTGTTCACTGTAAGTATTTCTTTATCATACTATCTCATATGATTGAAAAATAATTAATTTTTTTGTACAATATTTTTTTAGTACTGCGGAAATTGCAAAACTTTGAGTCCCCTTTTGTAACAATTAAACATCTACATATTATAGGAAGTAGAGTAGTACTTGGAAAAAATTACTGGGACATAGGATATGATTTCAAATTGATGAACAATGAGGTGGCAATGAATTTATTATATATTCAAGCAGTTGCTGAAATTCAATGGGGATGGATTTCTATTACGGATGAATTGAAGAATCAATTGACTGTTTTACAAAAACATGGAAAGAAAAAAGAGGTATGGAGCAATTATATCTATATGTATATAGATGTATGATGTACATATACACATATGAATTTAAGTATTATTATTTCAGTATCTGGATATAGCACGTACATCAAAGTATTATGGATATATTCAGTTTACTCCATGCCTTTGTGATTATCCTCATCCAGATTCAAAGGTGTTAGTCGCTATAGGTAGAAATGAATTGAATTTGCGTATATTATCCGATGGCGAACAATGTGAAGAAGTATTTAAAGTTTCACGAATGCGTTGTTGGCGTATAACTACATTACAGAATGTTAGTAATTGAAAGAGAAAGAAATATTTTGATACTACAATGTATGTTGTCCTGTTTTCTTATAATTTTAGGGGCCGGAAAGAGGATGTGAAGAAAGTGACGAATTTAGTTTAGAGTTGTCTTTCGAATATTTAATAGCTAAAAATCAATTACAATGGGTTACAATTACTTCGGAACAAGCTATTTTAATGTCTGTATGCTTGCAAGCTATGATTGATGAATTATTATCAAAGACTGTTGACAATAATAAGAGTCAGGTTGATAAAAAATATTATTATTTTCTAAGTAAAGTTATTTTCTTGTGTTAAATATTAGACAAATTGTTTATAGGAAGTATCTCAAAAATCTTGGACTTATGTTATGAGAGATGGGCAAAGTATTACAATAGGATCAAGCTCTAATGAAGAAACTGAAGAAACTAAAAAGGTACAATGATTTAATAGTATTTATATTTTATTTATTTGTGTCCTTGTATTCTGTTTTAGAATCGTTGTATTAAACAACCTCCTAAATCAGAACCAATTATGAAGAAACTTGCGGATAGATTATCGGTAGTAAAAATTAAAAAATCCAGTGATGTGAAAAGTAACACAAGGGACAAGGTTGAAGGAAAACCAACATTGGAATACGATATTATGGAAAATAATGCATTTCGTATGATCGGCGATGATGACTTATGAACACATAAATTGGAATTATGAATTGAAAAATATTTCGAAAATACCTCAAACTTTTAATATCATATTAACCCATATTTTTGCTACTTTTATTCTTAATGCTTAAATAATGTAAAATATAAAACACGGATGTCAACAGATTTGTAATAATCATTTTGTATGATATATAAATTTATCGTTGATAATAAAAGCATTTTAAAAATTAATTCAAATATCTAATGAAATAAATAAACAAAACTAAAATAAATTATAGTATATGTAATACTTTATTATTGTTCAAATCAAATATGTAAAAGGCAGTGTCTTATATTAACAGTTGTATTTCATTTTGCTTCATCTTAAATGAAAATTAATATATTTTATTTTAATACTAAACGGAAGTAATTCGTAGGTTACGCTGTATAATGAGATTATAATTCTAGCTAGATAGGTAATTGTTTGTTTGAAAGACAATTTTCTGTCTTCAGTCTGTATATTTTGCCCAAACATATCGAGAATGGTACAATTCATAAGAAAAATGTAAAATTAGGATGACTTCCTAAATAAAATAATTATAAACTGCAATATAAAAAGATAGCATTTTCCTAACGCGAAAAATAAACAGATTTGCTATTGTCCTATGAAATAGACTTCTACATGTGTACATTATATTCATAAATATTATAGATCTCTATTTCATGGACTATTTAAGTTTTTATAGAAAAGAATTTTATCATGTTTTTTTAAATGTTGGGTTAATAGGCAAATATATGAAAATGCGTAACTAGTTTTTACAATATTACTTCCACGTGATTTTTTTTTTTGCATTTTAATAATACATGTGGAAGATGAACATAGAAAATTTGTTACTACAAAAGTATTTATGTTCTATCGAATGTGTAATTCTGTACGAGTAAAATTCATTTGTTTCTGTTAGATTATTGCTTATATATCGTATGTCGCAGTGAATGGGTGCGCTCTATTTTTTTTCTCCAACAGTAAAGACATTTCTTTTCTTTTAAATTCGATTTAATTGTCTGCTTCTCTTATTAATGATGAAACTCAATGCTATTGTTTTAATAATCTTGTGTGTCATGGTAGGGCCATATAAAGACTAGATTTAATAATTAATATTTGAATCTTTTTCGACCATAATGTGCATATCTTCTATATCAAAAATATGTTGTTATTCTGTATTGTTACTTCCTAAATAAACAGAAAAGTCAGTTCTGGCTATAGCATTTAAGTATTATAAATCTATTTCCGCTACTTGTAAAATAGCCCAACGTCAGCAAAGAATTACTCCACTATGTCATAATATTGTTAACGATACGCACACGCGTTATTATTCTTCTGGTATGACCTATATAAATATGTAAAAATCTATGCCAATATAAAAGATAATGACAAGCTATTTGAAAATCTTAAATATGGTGATGAATTAAAAAAATGTATTTTAATAGAATAGAAGTGTTACATAAATTTAAAAGATATTACGAGTCTTTGCCATTACTACATGATACCTATTTCAACAATTCAAAAATACTGACTTAACAAATTATTGAAATATCAAAATATATTCTAAAAGGGAAGACTAATTTCAGTAAGTTAATTCATCAATTATTTCACATTGAAATATTATCACTCTCGTCGTAATTTTGCATGGTAAAATGATACTCTTGAAAAATTTACAATTTATTACGTTCACGAAATTTATAAACTGAATATTCTGTAACTTAATTATATCAACAGATAAACGCATAATATATCTATGGCAGTAAAGAAGGAATCAATCTTCAACGTGTTCTAAATTCGTTCACTCATCTGAAACTGTTTTATGAGACTACATAAATATATTTTCAGGATAACTTCCATGCATATATTTTCTATGAGTGATGATATTGATAATGTAATGTTATTGATAAAATAAATGGCATAATACGTGACTAGTGTAAGACGTAAACCGAATACCAATTTCATACGGACGCTTAACCGATTTCTTTTTTCAGCAAAAACAAAATTGCGAATATGGCATACTATAATTATTTTCATTTGTATTCAATTCGTTTGCTCTTAGCTCTAATTTCTAACGAAAGTTGTGAAGATATTTTTATAAGAATAGCACGATAGCGGTATATATGTAGATAAACGTAATGATAAAAAATTAAGTGTAATGATTATTTTGTTCACCTAAATCATGTAAAATAATTTACATTGGTGACGTGAGGCTATTGGCTAGTATTAATTACTCGCACTTGATTCGCAAAGAGTCAGAACATTGTTTCAGAAGAAAATACTTTTAACTGTTATTCGTCATTTTGCAGGTAGACATTTAATTAGTAAACAATGCTCTTCTCTTTGATGAAACTAAGAACGAGATGAATAAAATCTATTCATTTATACAACTGTACACCCTTTATCTATCATCATCACACTTATTTGCATAAAAAAAAGTAACCAAAATGTTAGAAGTTTTGCTGACGTTTTCGCTTTGTGTCCATGGCGTCAAGAATCGGTTGTCTCTTCGTTTGGTACCTTCTTCTCAGTTCATCAATCTCTCTTTCCATTTCTGCATCCAGATTAGCCATACGTTGCTGTAGTTCCTCGTATGAGAGAAACTTCAGCTGCAGGATATGGTTGTTTATCTATATTCAAGTTTCTTTTAATGATGCCTAAAGTGGCACTATGTTGATTGATCTTAAGTTTAACATAATACTAGAAATACTAGAAAAATTCTTAATCTCTTTTTTTATCTTCACTGAAAATTTATAAATGTTTATTACTTACGAAGTCGAAATCACGTTCTGTGAAGACATTTTGGAACTTGGATATGTTATTATGCGGTTGATCTTGTACAGGGTGAGAAATCTGATTAAGCTGTAATTGTAGGTGACTTTGAAACCTCTGAGATTCCGTAGGGCTTCGTAATTCTAATTTATTTTCATTATCTTGATTGTGTACCCCAAGTATTTGACCATTCCCCTAATTAAGACATCAATTTCATGTATGTAAATTTCAAAAAATGTTTTTTGGAACCTTTGCTTTTTTTTCTTTTTTTTTTTTTTTAAATGCAAGGTTTACCTTTCCTATCTCAGGTGCTTCTTTCTTGTCAAAATGATCTAAAAATAATGGTCGGTATTTTTTCCCGGACTCTACTGACCCTGTATTGTGTCCTGCGGATAAGTGATTTTTGTCAACTTTCATGTTTTAGATGTAGCACCATATTTTACTACAAATCAAGTTTTACTTACTTTTCATAGTTGCTTCGGTATCGGTGTCGCTGTTAATAACCATTGTTCCCAAATCTAACATCGCGGAAACAAGTGTACCCGTATCAGGAAGGTCGTGACTCGGTACTAAAGTTCCTGTATCTTCTGGTAGAGGTTTCATTGTTCCACTACAGTCTTCTTCATCCTTACAGTAGACATCAAACGTTTATTATTGATCTTAGTAAATACTTTCTAATGACATTCATAATTTATCTCAATATAAATACATACCGAATCATCTGCTTGATTTTGATTCTTGATTGCCACATTATTTATAACATGAGCGCGATGTGCACTTTGTTTCTCCCGTATTTCATGAGCTTCGGCGATCATTTGACTCAAAATACTCGGTTGCTTGGCATTACCTGTAATGAAAAGAATTCACTGAATAATGTATACAAAAAGATAGATATGTGTTTGCTTCATTGTATCATGAAGTTTACCTATAAATTCGTGATTCAGAAGCTCGGTTGCGGTAGCTCGTTCTTCTGGATTTTTAACAAGGCACCCACTGACAAAATCTATAAACTCAGGACTCCATTGATCAGGTTCTCTAAAGCTAGGTGGTGGTTTAGTTGGAATCATAAATATTGCTCTCATTGGATGTATATCACCATAAGGTGGTTTGCCTTCTGCCATCTCTAAAGCTGTTATACCAAGAGACCATATGTCTGCAACACAATCATATCCAATTTCTTGTATTACTTCTGGAGCCATCCAAAATGGAGTTCCTATAACTGTGTTACGCTTTGCCATTGTATCCTAATAAAAAATTGTAGAAAATTAGTTTCTAATTCCACTGATTCTGTTTATATAATTACAGAGATTATGTTAGATAACTTACAGTCAATTGTCCCGCTACACCAAAATCAGCCAATTTAGCATGCCCTTCATTATTGAGTAAAATATTTCCCGCTTTAATATCTCTATGTATTTTTCTTCTCAAATGCAGATACTCTAAACCCTTTAAGGTGTCACTGAGTATTGTTGCTATTTCATCTTCTTGAAGGGTCTTTTTTCTTAACCTCATGATATCACTAACAGATCCAGCTCCACAATATTCCATTACAATCTATGAAATCATAGCTTTTAATGAGTATAGGCAAAAAGTAAATAAAAACTTTGATATATTAACTTTTGTATATTGTATCGTTAATGTTTGAAATTACCCATAAATCGGTATTTTTAAAGTAGCTTCCATAATATTTAACAACATATGGAGAATCACATTGTTGCATGATAGAAATTTCTTTTATGATTTCTTGTAAATCTGTGTCAACAGGTACTTGCTTAATAGCAAGTACTTGCCCACTTTCCTTATGTAATGCTTTGTAAACTGATCCATAAGATCTATAGAAACAAAATGGGAATGATTCAAATTTTTTAAATCACTATCTTTATAAATTGTTTTTAATAAAAGGATTTCATTCTAAAATTATATATCACCTCATACATGTAGAACTTACCCTTCTCCTAACTTGCATATTATATCAAATACTTCTTCAGGTTGTCTGGTTAAACTTTCTTCAGACAACTTTTTTAATTCACTAAAAAAGATATTTAAATTCTTGATCAGGCAAACAATATTTATACCGTATGATATGTACAAGAAAAGAATAATACAGGAAAACAATATTTAGATTTATTTCTTTTATTCTCATCATATAAAAATTGCATTATACAAGAGACTTTTAAGTTAGGTGCTATTCCCACATACATATATGTAGCTGTATTATTTCAATTAACACTGAACTATAATTACATTAGACAAGTAATTACAATGATAGTCAAACACATTAAAAGAATTGGAAGACTAATATTTTGAATATTTTTAAAAAGGTGGCGAAAGTATTTTTAAATATAATAAATAATATAAATAAATTGATAATGCAGGTTAACAAAGAAACAAAGAATCGATACTGTACAATTATTTCATATAACAAGTGATACGCGCTAAAGATTGAGAGACGATTCCTTCTAGCTACAAATAACTTCCATTCGCAAGTTCGTAAAATTCTGCAAGTTTAAAAACACGAAGTAAAAACAATTAAATACCTCTTCGAAGACATTTTCGCTTTTTGTGTCAACGAGTTCTTACTTGAATAAAAACACCTTCAATATTTACACAAATAACTTAACGTGGATAAAACAGATATCATTCCGGTTGTAAAAACATAGTCAATTTAAAATAGAAGTGTTACATTTTTGTCAATAAATTAAAGTAACCACACAACCGAAATATCGAAACCATCGACTATTTAAAATTATAGATGGCAGAGTTGACAGAGGTGGAATGTTTCTGAATCTAGCAGAATTGATTATACGTGTTACCGTTACTCAATATCTTACTCGTAATAAGAAAACAACAAGAAATGAAAATAAAGATGCAAATAGAATCAAATTTTTATTTTGTATTGCTCGAATTGTGCAAGGCTACGAAATGAGATCATTAATGAAGATAATATTTAAAAATGATTCGAATAAACGATGACCAATCATCATGTAGCTTCGGTTATATGTATATCCATTGTAATTTACTTGATCTTGTAAATTATACCTCGAGTATAATATTATAATATTATTTAAGTAATAAACCAGTGAAAAATAAGTATGAAAATGTACTGGAAAATATATTATCTTTTTTTTTTCATCGTCGCTGCAACTGCGAATATATAATTCAGCTGAATTTGGTGTTTAAATTAAAAGACGAAGGAAAATTATCGGAATAGTATTAAAAGGATTCAAGTGATATCGAGTAAAAGTATGTATATGAAATATGGTAACTTTAAGAAGCTAGCGCTAGTAAGAATGTAAATATGCGTAGAATCTATTCTTCGTACAAGAAAGTGTAGAAAGTTTCTCGATTATTTTATAATTAAGCCCTTTATCGATTTATTAGAAAAATGTTATCGCATGGTAATGAAAATCCGGTTACTTTCTCTTAAGAGTAATGTTAAAGAAAAGGAAGTTGTTTACTCGAATTCGGATAGAGGTTTTGAAAATGCCGCTAATGTAATTAGTGAGAGATATGTCCGATAGACGGCGCAGAAAGTTGAGCATCGGTCGAACACACGGGAGTTTCTAGGCCCTGTACGTAATCGCGTGTCCACGCACGGTGAACGCTAGCACTCGTTTGCTAGACGGCCGGCTAGCAAAACGAGTCGATTTCTCCTGGTGCGCGATATCGTGGTAAGAGGTGGAGGAGACGTTACTCGTCGAGAAATTCGAGGGTATTGTCGACGGTACCGGTACAAGGGGACCTTGTGGTAGTTATAACGACGGCGGCAGCGACGGCGGCGGCGGCGGCGGCATTGTCCTGCTTGTTTTGTTGTCTCTCGCGAAACGCACAGGTGGAAAAGAGAAGAAGCTATCGCGTTGTCGAGGAATCGAGGAGTGACGGAGGAGAGCGAGACGGTGTGTGCGGCTCAAATAGAAAAGAGACTGGTGGTGTGCTGTGCACGAATGCCCATAGGTGTACCGTAAAAGACAACAGCAAACGTAGCGTAAAAGGGAGAGGGAGAGGTAGAAAGAAGATTCGGAACGGTGACGAAAGAGAAAGACAGGAACGAGACGAGATAGGATAGGAGAGAAGACAGAAAGGAAAGGAGAACGAAGGAAAGAAGGAAAGAAGGAAAGAAGGAAAGGAGGAAAGGAGGAAAGAAAGAACGGCGGGAGAGGAAGGGAGAGGGAAATAAAGAAGAACGAAAGGTAGTCAGAGTGTACAGGACACGAGGAGAGAGACGACAGGGCGAGAGAAAGACACACGAAGCGCGTTAGAGTGCGTGATCCAAAATGGCGCTGAACCAGGACGTGGACCAGTTGTCGAAGAGTAATCTCGTAGTAAGGATCGATCAAAATTCTGAATCGGATCTACAGGCACTATTCGACAGCGTCCTGAAGCCAGACTCGAAGCGTCCGCTGCAAGTACCACTGCGCATGCGCAATCTACCAGATTCCTTCTTTAATCCACCGTCGACGGGTAGCAAGAGTCCCTCGATCTCGCATTCCCGGGAGAATTCGGCGGATTCGGCGTTCGGTACAGCAGCCGCAGCCGCGGCGGCAGCGGTCGGCGGCGGCGGGCCAGCACCCGGTGGAAATGCAACCGGTACACCGGCTACCGGAGCAGCAGGTGCGGCTACTGGTGGAAGTGGAAACAGCGCTGGTAGCGGATCGAACGCCGCAGGTGCGGCTGCGGCTGCAGTGGCGGCTGCGGCCGCGGCTGGCCTCACCGTTGCTCATCCTCGTGCCCACAGCAGCCCGGCCTCACTTCAGCAAACCTACGCCTCGGCCCAGCAGGCGCCTCAGCACGCGCCTCAGCCGCACGCGCGTCACCATCATCACCAGAAGCAACGCAGCTACGACGTCATCAGTACGGTCGACGACCTGGGTCCCCTGCCGCATGGATGGGAACAGGCGCGCACCCCCGAGGGACAAATCTACTTTCTCAAGTGAGTCTGCTTTCCTCTTTTCTTTAATCGACTTTTCTTTCCTCTTGCCTCTGCTTTTCTTTTTTCGCTTACCGAGAGTACCTGTATTTCCTACCGATATTTTCATACATCCGCTTCGATCGCGATCCAAAGCGCGCGCTAATCGAATCAGCTAGTTGCGCGAATTTTTCGAAGACGTTTACGGAATCTGACTATAGGTAGTTGAGATATAGCGAACGGAATCCTCGTCCACGAACGTTCTTAAGGTTTCTTCGATAAACGCGAGTTTCATGTTCGCCGATCCTCTTAGGGAATTATATACGAACGGGAAAATAGGAAGGGAACAACTCGGCGAGCAGACGGCATCGATTTGACATTTTCTTTGCTCGTTTCGCAACCTTATCCGTTCATCCTCCCAGTCGATCCTGCCCTCCGACCATCCTATATAAACGATCCTACTTCGGATCGGTGCAGTTCACCGCTGTTCACGACTGCTGCTTCGCATTTTCGCCGTGTTGCTGCGGTCCCACATACCTCAAGGCTGTTACTGTCTTTATCACCGCTTCGACTTACTCATCGTTGTTTCTTCGTTCCTCCATTTCTCGGTCGTGTCTCCCCACTTGCGCCAGTCGCTCGTGTATCCTCGTTGTCCCCGCCATCCCGTTTTCACATCTTTCTCTTTGCTCGCCTCTCCTTGTCAATCTCGTGCCGCCTACTCGATACCTCCAGTCCCTTCCCCGTTTGTCTTCCATCTCGCTCGTTTAACCTGATCCACCTGCGCCATGACTAGGATTCCCACGTGTCACCTGTCGTGGGAAACGCTCCTCGTGTGCTTGCTTTGTCGCCTCGTTCGCCTCCCTCCACCCACCTGTCTTTCACTACTCGCACCTCTCTCTCTCTCTCTCTCTCTCTCTCTCTCCCCCCTCTCTCTCGTTTCTCCTTTTTTTCCACAATCATCGCGTCGCGTCCAATTTCAAATCTTTCGCCGCGCTGTATCTCTTCTCCATTTTCTTTTTCCTGTCCTATCCTCGTCCGCTTATATACTTACTCGCGTTACCGTTTACCCACCACGAATTCACGTGTTTTCTTCGCAGCGGATCGATCGACCGCGTTACACTTTCTTGCTTGTTTGCTTTGATGACCGATTACGATTTCGTTGATCGAGTGGCCGATGTCACGTCGAGATATCCCGCCGATAATCGATATGCTCGCCGTCGATAACGCGTACACCTGCAGACGGAGGCGTTCATTCAGTCATACCTGCGCGCCTTTGTAAATATTCATCCTGCCTCCTCTTCGACGTTCAACGTTTTCGCCTCTCTGAAAGCCGATTGAAAAGGGCTTTCATTCGCGTTCATTGTTCTTTGCCTCGTTTCCAAGTATTTCCTCTTTCCTCCTCCTCCTCTTCTTTTCTTATTTGCGAGCCGGAGGAACGGTTCACAGCCGAGGTGGAAAAAACTCGAGGAGTCTGCCTGTCCCCACGTGCGTGTGCGTTTTCTTTCAGAAACGTTTACCTGAGCTTAACGTCCGAACCCCGTCTATTTCTGTTTCACCTGCGAATCCTACCTGCCGCTAAAAATCGTGAGAACGGAGGCTAGGCAGTCTAGGCTGCGGGATATGCCGAAAACTGCGTTTCGAATCCGTGAGAAATGTCCGCGCGTTTATCCAAATTCTTCCGCTCTCAAAATTTTCCTTCCTCGATCAAAGCGCGCGATAGGAAACCCGCGAAATTTGAAATGGTTTCGGCGTGGACGCTGGGCGATCTATCGGGGGAGACGGGGCGGTATCGTCGAGATCAGCGGTCTGTTCCGTTCAAGAGAGGAACTTTTTTCCAGGAAATCGTTTCCGTTTCGTGACTTCGGCGCGTGAAACTAGAATGGACGTCGCGCGACGAGATAGCATCGCGAAAGTCGTAAAACTCGTCGATAGGTATCGGTGGATAGAGCCATTTCGAGATAACGCACCGTCTGCGTTTACTTTACGGCCGCCTTCCATTAATCGTTATTTAATCGCCCCCGTACGAATCGTCCTTAATAATTCCACGGTACCCGAGTGCTACTCTCGAACGTTACGTAAAAACGTAATTAAACAATCTATCCCGTTGATCTCTCGTCGTAACTTCCACCTCGCCTTCCACGTTCTGCGCCATTCCGCGCTTGTGTTTCTGTAAAAGGCTACCTTCCGTCCGATGGAACCGAAACGCGATGAAATTTCGCCAGGTCTTGTCCGAAATTTCCCGGCAAACTTCTCCGTTCGTTGGTTCGCGCGGGACGGAAAAGAAAATGGAGTTGGCGAGCGAGGAACTGCGGCCGCGGGTCGTAGGTGTCGGTAACGCGTGTCCGTTTGCGAGGCAGGAAGCGGGATGAAAAGGCAAAGGAAAGAAAGGAACGGCTCTGGGAATAATTACTCGCGGCTTGCGGAGATCTGCGGCTTCTTCGCGTATCGAGGATCGAGCTAATCGCGTTTCAGGTTCGCGCTGCTCCTTCGATCTTATGCCTATTCCGGCCGCGTCCGATGCAACGTAAATATCGTTTAATCGTTCAGTAGGGTAGAGTGGTTGCCGTGCGCCGGTGGCACGTTGAATTACAGCCCGTGAAACGAGAAAAAGCACGGCATTCTCCTGATAGACGTAACACAGCGGGCGCGAGGAGAGTTGCTCGGTAATGGCCGATGGTAAAAGAAGTGCAGCCAACCGAGAGGCGCACGGTTGTTGTATTATGCAGTAATGACTGCCGTGACGGCACCCGTGTCTTCTCTCTTATTCCTCTTCTCCCGCGCCGTTCGTCCAATTACCTCTGGCCCGTCTCTTCGCGAGCTTTTGGATCTTATCCAGAAGCGGGACTTATTAGAATCTAATTTGCGTAATTGAAACGTGATTCGTGCCGCGAACAAGCTGACTCTTTGAAATCCTTCTAGGAAGTGTCGCGCGCCGTCTTCTCTCTTTCTTCCTCTGTTTCCCTCCGTGCATTCTATATGCATATTCCGGCAGGGAAAATAACGAGAAGTCTAAAGAGAGAAGCGCCACTCGAGGCGCGTTTCCACCTAGGCAACGTTTAACGCGCGTTGCCTAATTGTTGCCCGTGTAGAAACGTGCTTTGTCTCACGCGTCGTTGCCTACACGTTGCCCAGGTGGAAACACGCCTTAACCCGAGTGGCGACATTTTAGAAAATTCTGCGCGTCGATATTAATCCTTGTATCGAGCTTAAAATAACGCGATAGCGCTTGAAACGCGAAAATAAAATAATTCTACGCGATTCCTTATTTACCGTTTTAACGCCAAACGTACCGCGGCTCCAACAGTGACTGTTTGTAAACTTTTCGCTTCAAATTCCGCGTTCGATGTTCAATCGACGTTTTCCTTTTCTTCACCCATCGGTCCATTGAAAGATTTTTCTTTGGCGAAAAAATCGCAGGGCGCGAAGGGTTAAACGTGGACACTGGATGAAACGACGCGCGAGACCGGGTGCCCCCCCGTCTTCGAACGATCCTCCGCGTCTTGCTCCGATCGCGAAATTTCTCGCGCCCCCTGCGTCGTCGAAATTTTCTCTTTTCCACGAATTTTCCACCGCGGTTCGCGCGTTACCTCGCGCGTTGCCTCGCCGTATAATGTTATACGTCGGTCCCGTTAGCTAGGTCCGCGTATTACATACCAGCGAAGAGTAGCGACCGTGTTCCGACAAGACGAGACGAGACGAGACGAGACGAGACGAGACGTGAAGAAACGACTTCGACTACGAGCCGGTATTTTTTTTCCCCGCGTTTCATCGGCGACTGCACGTAAACAGTGTGGCTCCGACATCTCTCCTCTCCCGGAGAGGAAACGGCCAAAGACACAGAGGCTCTGTTATCGCTGAAACGCGCGCAGACGTCTGCCTCGCAACGAAAAGTCTTGCCAGCTCTCGGGGAACGCGTTCCTCCGCCAGGTGAACACACGAGACGCGACGAGCAGGCGTTCAAGGCTTTCCGTCAACTGTATCGTTTGACGAAACATTAGTCACGAGCGGAGTCACATTTTATCCGCGGAATTCGCGTAAGTCGCCGCTTATTCGCTCCTACGGATCTCGTTCGCCGAGCTCGTTTCGTCGATTCGCGCGCGTGCTGCCTTCTTGCCTTTTTCGCGGCTTCTACTTTCTCGCCTTTGCCTCGGGATTCCCGGTAAACCCGAAAAATCCAATTCCCCGGCTGTTGTACGCTACGCGAGAAAATAATCGTACACCCTGTAGTTGCCAGTGGTTCTCGAGACTAACGCAACGTGCGCGTATGTTACGTATGTACACGCGTAATGCCTGCCGTGCTTGATAACGCGCAGGCATGTCAGAGTGTACGTCTCCTTTCGGAAATTTTACCGGTTTGAAATGGGCAAACGATAACACCGGTATCGGGGAAGAATAGAACAACGAGATTTCGTTTGTCCAAAATGGAGAGGCTTCTTAGACATTTTCGCGCGCCGAATTCGAATATGGCAGGGGGCAATAACGAGTATCGATTCGTCGTATTTCTAAAACCCAGTTTGATTCGTAATCGGACGATTTGTATCGATTTATATCGATTTATACCGATTTATATGGAGATACGTCGTTTTGAGGTTAGCCGAGATACACTCACTGGGAATCATAGAGGCGATTGGTGACGAGTTTGGAATAACGAGAATCGTTGGAAAATAATGGCTGCTCGAAATGGGAAGAAAACTAGTGGCTGGAAGAATCGAATAGTATTACGGAGCATAATCGCGCGGCTGAGACGTTAATGGCAATTGATTCGCGGCTACTTCCTCGTTACAGCCACTGGTAACGCGAACCTCACGCAAACTCGTCGATAACGAGCACGAGAGAAGCGATTCGCGAGTGGAATCGAGCGTTCCGATATATCCCAGCCGTTTTGCTCGTAAATTCATTTCGAGGACGTTTAGTATGCATTTTCGAATGCAGTGAAAGTTGCGCGCTCGCGCGCGCACGCTCACGCGCCTGCGCGACATCGGCATCCTGTTGCGTTCAGGGTCAGTTCGACAACGCGGACACGCGTTTCCCTCCGGTTTTTCCCTCCGTTGTTCGATATTTTATTTCCTCGCTGTTCCCCGCCTGTCGAAAGTTTTTACTTGCAACAGGAAAGAAAAAGGAAAGAAAGGAAGAGGAAAATAAGAAAGAGAAAAAAGGAACGCCATTCGAGAAATCGAATAGGAAACTATGCGCTGATTGCTGGCGAAACGACCACGTCTCCGCGGCGTGTCGAATGGGAATAATCCGTTTCTCGTTTGGCGTGCCGCGTCTCGAAAGACGTTCCTCTCGATAAGCGAAAGGTACGGAACGATAAATAACATTCGTGACGCGGGAGATGTGAAAAAACGCGAGATAAACGACACACGGCAGACTTTATTTTACGCGCGCGTCACGTTCGATCTATTTGTATTACGATACACCGCGTGTGCGCGTGCGCGCGTGCGCACGCGATCGTAACAGTTGCATCGGACGGTATTATGCGCGTTATATGGTAATCGGTGTTTTCCACGGGCCGGGGAGTAGGTCGCGTTCTTTTCCGCAAAAGCGTTGCAGAGCCGCGCGGCGTTCGCGTAAGGATAGAGGTTTTTACTCGGTCACTCGGCAGGCTAAAGACCCCGACACACCTGTAGACGAGAGAGTCTTGGGTCGCAAACGCGAATGCCGGACAGGAGGACAAATCTCCGGGAATACTTCGAACGTATCGAAAGTTCAAGGCGGCGCGAGTGTCCTCGGTTCGCCTTGCTCTCGCCGCTTCCTTCGACTTTGCGATTATAACCATCGCTGCTGCTAACAGCGTTTTCCGTTCTCCTCCGTGTACCGTACCGATTAGCCTTTTCTCCCGTGTTTCGCCGTGTTTCATCGTTTGCCGACTCCTTTTCACCGAAATCCGATCGCTTATCGCGCCTCGCTTATCCGATATTTCCAGCTCGGACGCGATACACTCGTCGATTCCTCGATTCCCTGTCTAATCGAACGAAAGCCCCGCTGGGATTACGATACGTAGATTGGGAAACTTTTCGGAGCCGTCGTACAAAGGTTCGTAGTTTCGCGCTAATCTACGCGATACTTACTCGTGGTAGATCTCTTGCCGATAAAGAAGCGGCTTTCCGGTTACGGATTTCTTCGCCGACGTTAACTCGCATTTAAACCGAAATTCCCTGTACCGTTAGCGTTCCCTCGCAGTCCCGTAAATATCGTCTATGACACGTTAATCGGTTCGCGAATATCGCCCCGTATTTATACGTGTTTACACGTTTCCACGGCGCGCTGCCACGGCGACGTTTCGCGCGCTATGTACTTTAACTACAATTTATGCGCTCTCGAAGCGAAGATTCTCAATTGATACGCTGGTGGCTGTCGCGTCTGTGAACGCGTAGCTCGGTTCATTCAAAGGGGGCCTTTGCTTTCTCGCGCTGGCCTCCTATCGACCGCCTCGTGCTCGTTATCGATGTCTCGAGCGTTCGACTTTGAAAACAAGGGATCATCGGAACCGATCTTTTCTTGCCGTTTCTCCTTCCATTCCCGAGACGTTCGGCACGGGGAACAAAGATGCCTCGATGTCTAGGATAAAGCGTCGCCCGATAACCGTCTTTCTTCAACCATTTATGCCTACCTATAGGCCATTAAAGGGGTGCGTTAACGGTACTTTGACGGTTGTTCCGACGATAAAACCGAGTAGCCAGCCGATCGCTCCACTCTCGAAGAAAAGGTGTAGCTTTTTCGAGGGACAGCCTGCCAGAGGGAGGCAACGCGAACTACACGACCACGAGCACGACCACGACGACCACGACCAAGTCGAAGACGACGACGACGACGACGACGACGACGACGACGACGACGACGACGACGACGACGACGACGACGAAGATGACGACGAAGACGACGACGAGGACGACGACGACGACGACGACGACGACGACGGGAGAGAAGAGCAGGCAAGCGAAAGAGAGCGTCGGTGCGAGAGTGTCTATTTACGAGTTGTCCGGCGCCGTGATGTCCGGAGTAAAAATACATCGTAGTCCGTATGCTGTGCGCCACACAGAAACCCTCTTGTAATTCTCCAATGCTCTCGAGCTGCCTGCCTGGCTGCCTGGTTGCCTGTTCGCCTGCTAGCCTGCCTGCTTACTTGCTTGCCTGCTTGCTTACCTCTTCCTCTTCTCCTCTTCTCGCTTCTTTCCCTTCTCTACCCTTTTCCCTCTCGCCATCTCAGTCTTCTCTCTCTCTCTCCTCCTTCCCTCTCTCCTCTCAGCCTCTCTCCCTGCCTCTTTCTCTCTCCACCTCGGACTCTCTTGGAACGCATCCAACCGCTCCCGGAGAGACCCGCGACATGTAGCTTTTGGAACACACCGCCGTTCTGTATTCCGCTATGCCACCGATCACGCATCCCGGAGATAGATTTTCAATTTCTTTCTCTCCACCCCGCTTTCCTTCCCTCCCACCTCTTTCGCCTCTGACGCTACGATTTTCCTGTTATTTTTCTAACCAACAGGGAAAGGTGTGTTTCTCTCCGAGCTGATCACGGGACGGCCGAATCGGAGTGGGGGCGGCAAAGAAAGGCGTCATCCTCGAGAAAAGTTGCTCGCGATAATTATTCCGCCTTTTTTCCCTCCGATCTCCAATTTTCTTTCCTCCCCCCCCCTCTCTCTCTCTCTCACACACACACAATCTCTTTCTCTCCCTCTCTCGGACAGGTGGAGAGAGGCAGAGAGCGAAATTCGAAAATTTGCCGGTCGATCGGCGGGCCGAGGATCGTAAACACGCGTCGCCGTTATCCGGTGATCGAGGAGAGCGTGTTTCGTTCCTCGTGTATTCTTTTCCTCCGCCGGCTGACCGGTGGCGGATCTCGGGAAACGATGCAGCTTAACCACGCTCCATCGGATATATCCCGATTGGATAATGCTCTTAATGTTAAAACTACGTCAAACGCGTTCCGTTTCGCGGGTATTATTAACCGTGTAAGAAGATTTGTTCCTCGCCGGGGAATACCGCGTGCCGATTTAGACAACTTGTTTATGTCCTCGCCGATGACTTAAGCGAAACGCGTTAAGTCATCCGTGCACGGAACGCGAGCGAGTGGCACTTTTCGCGAAATCTAACGAACCTCTCTCTGTGCCCGAAACAAATTGGCGTCTATCCGCCGGGAAATCGTGATCCACGAGTTCGTGGAACTCGTCGCGATCGTCGATTCTCCTCCTCTCGATGGCTCTTTCGAGAATTTTCACCCACGGCGAGGAATCTTCGTACGCGTCGAAATTGGCCGGTTTCGGGCACCTATCGGGAAATTTCGGTGCCGATGTTCGAGGGTGTCGCGTTGAGCGTGCCTTATGTTGGACGGTTGTCTAAAATTTCTTTGGAGCGAGGCAAGGTAGCCGGCTCGCAAAGGTATTCGTTTCACCGTGGTGAATAAGAGCGGCGGTGTAGCGTTTTCCACTTCCTCCCGGCTGAAAAATGACACGTGAGTAAGGTAAATACGTTAGGTAGAGGGAAGACGACGGGATCGGCAATCACAGCCATTAGCCGCTATTTTTGTCGACCGAGAGACGTAGTGTTTTCGTGCAACTAAAGCCGTTTCGGACAAAACGACGCCTCCATCCTCGTCACCGTCTATCTGCCTGCGTGTGCGTGCGTGTGCGTGTGCGTGTGCGTGTGTGCGCGTGTGTGTTAAGCCGCCGTGGAACGATGCTTTGCGATTTAATTAACCACGATCCTCATCCCGCACAGCCGGAGAATTAGTTCGCCGATCGAAGAGGCTTGGACCGAGCGCGGCTACGATTTCAAGGACCCATGCGCTCTTTCGTCCCGTATTGGAGCCAGATCGCGGTGTGTGCGGTAACTTCTCAAAACGGAGTTCAGGTTCATTCGTACGCAGAAACACGGTATATACGTACCTCCTGGCCGCCGTTTGCTTCCGCGAAACGCTTTAAAATACACGGATCCGGATACCGCGCGCGTTCGAACTCCCTTCTTTCTCGATTCTTCGACAGCACGCGTCGATTCCGTGCGCGGGGAATAGAAATAAAGGGGGCGGATATCGTTTGCGCGAAACGCGGTGTCCTCTTCGACTACCTCGATCTTCCGCGTGTCTCGCGATCGAGATCGCGGTCCGGGACCATTCGATCGGGAAATCTCGCGAAATACGTTTTATTCGAGACGTTAAAACTCGTGTGTTAACTACCGCTAGGCGCCTGCTGTTACTCCTTCGCGTCGTCTTTTGAATGGAACTATTTTTAGAATGCGCCTACTATATGTGGATAACTGTACGTGCCGTGGCGTATTCAGTTTCTGCACGGGGCCACGCTATACGTACAAAATAGCACCACGTCTAAACGTGTTATAATTTTATTTTCCAGCCACCTGACGCGAACCACGACATGGGAAGATCCGCGAAAAACAGCGGCAGCAGCGAACGTGGCGGCTGTGGCTGCCGCCGTCGACAATGGCAAATCCACGACCGGCGCTACCAATACTCTAGGTCCATTGCCCGACGGATGGGAGCAAGCGCGTACTCCTGAAGGAGAAATCTACTTCATTAATCATCAGACACGCACCACTTCGTGGTTCGATCCAAGAATCCGTAAGTTTCCACGCGGTCCACCCACTCCGAATCCCGTGGTTGCTTCCTTCCGAACGTCGCACCCGATGCCACGCAGTCGTTTTATTTTCATTCGAGGATTCCTGCCCCCTTCCTCCGACCGTTCTGTCTCGTTGCGAGAAGGTATTCCATCGAGGTGTATCTGTCGTTTCAGCCACGCATCTTCAAAGAGCTCCAACTTCGGGCGCGATGTTACCGCAAAACTGGCTTCAGCAGCAACCCACAGGTGGTGGTATTCAGAGTAATCAAACACTGCAAGCGTGTCAACAGAAACTTCGTCTTCAGTCGCTACAGATGGAACGCGAGCGTCTCAAGCAACGGCAACAGGAAATTATGCGCCAGGTGAGTTACAGGGAACACGCTCGATCGCTTTTCTTCGCGATAATAACGCTCCGTCTTCTTCGCCTGTAGCAGGAGCTCATGCTCCGACAGAGCACCACCGACGCCGCCATGGATCCGTTTTTATCGGGAATCAACGAGCAACACGCGCGCCAGGAAAGCGCGGATAGCGGTCTAGGACTTGGTTCTGCTTATTCTCTTCCACATACGCCGGAAGACTTCCTCGCGAATATCGACGACAATATGGATGGCACAAGCGGTAAAACGTTCTTCGATTTGCGGTATCGCGAATATACACCTAGTCGCCGGTGTTTAAACACGGCGCACCGTTTTCTATGAACTTTAGACTTGTTTTGTAACGGTATCGATGTTAAAAATCTGTTCTTTCGTTTACAGATGGTGGCGCACCTATGGAAACCCCAGATCTCTCTACTTTGAGCGATAATATCGATTCGACCGATGATCTTGTTCCATCGTTACAGGTATTTACTGTTACTTCAGTCGCTGTACTTGAAAGCGCCTATAGGAAAAGCAATTCCGAATTAATAATTTCTGTCTTTTTTCTTTTTTTCTTTCCTCCACCGCGTTTCCAGCTGAGCGAAGATTTTAGTAGCGATATTTTGGACGACGTGCAATCACTGATAAACCCTAATACGACGAAACCTGAAAACGTGCTGACGTGGCTGTAGTATGGAGGTGGGAATTGTCTATGACAGGCAAGCAATTTATGAAATCGATTCGTTAAAAAAAATTGCAATTTCAATATGTCTAAACCGAATGGAACGATTCTAGAGGATCTTACCAATAACGTAACGACTATTCCATAAAAAAAAAAACAAAAGAAAAAAACAAAAAAAAATAAGTAACGCACGTGAACGAGAAAAATTTTAAAGTTTAAGTAGAATGGAGCCTTAATTACAACGCGCTATGCTCAACGTATACACGAACGCGTATACGGTAACATTCACGGGGTGTTCTAGAAATGTTGACGATATTTTGAAAGATCGTAATTTTTATCGAGTTCCACGAGACGTTTCGTCTTCTCTGTCACGTTCGTTGAACAACTAAAGATGGTAAATAATGGTGAGATCGAAGCCTTAAAATCTAGTGTTCATGGCAAGCTTGTCGAGTCTTCCTGAAGAAATTTTTGAGAATGTTGAGCAGGCCGTAATTATCGTTGAGGCTTCTCGAGAAATTAGTTTTTTCTTTTATTTTTTTTTTTTTTTTTTTTTT